ACGAGCTACGTTGCATACATCTAATATGGAGCAACGTCGTATGAAAAGTAATCAAGTGACTTTGCAGTTTGAAACCCAATTCGCCCACAGTAGTGCAAACACTTGCTTTTGTGCACTCGACCGACAGGAGCTCACTATATTTGGCTTAAAACCACAGAAACATCCCAATTAATCCACGGGATTTTGAAGGAGAATGACGATTCGCTCTTTACTCAGGATGCGCCGTGAATTTGACACACGTCCGTAATAACAGCGGCATTCACGTGCTTATTTGGAGGCATAGAAGCCAGCCAAAAAGGAAACAAAGCCTTTTCGCTTTCATGGCAGATCGAAACATAATGGGGAGGCACTGAACGAATCCCTGTGATTGCTCTGAATGCAAAAGCCAAAGATATTTCTAGTTTTCAGGATTTTTTTTCAGCAAAAGATGCGCCGTGAATTTTATACCCGTCCGTAATAACAGCATTCACGTGCTTATTTGGAGGCATGGAAGCCAGCCAAAAAGTAAACAAAGCCTTTTCGCTTTCATAGCAGATCGAAACATAATGGGGAGGCACTGAACGAATCCCTGCGATTGCTCTGAATGCAAGAGCCAAAGATATTTCTAATTTTCAGGATTTTTTCCAGCAAAATGTTGAGTAGAACAGCATGAAAGCCCCTTGAACCATCCAAGAATTCCCTCTTTGGGGATGTGGTCCAGAAGCCAACGCTGCCATCATGGACGTCAGATTTCCAAACACCGTAGAGATTGTCATAAACCTAGATGCCTCGAGATTTCAAAAAGATTCAATCTTCAGTGCATCCTAAAGGAGCCGTTTGCGCTGGGCCATGCACATATTCCTTCTAAACAGACTATTGAAATAGGTTCACCATTTTAATCGACACTCATTTTCCAGAGCAAGTAATCCTCCAGCACAAGCTGAAGAACGAAGACCAGCACCGATAATGTTCACGATCCCGGCTGTGGACGGTGGCAACGCCGGTCCAGTTGGTGTGATCATACCTGCCCAAGCTGTTCCCGACAACGCAGCTCCACCAGCTCCAAATCCTCCACAAGAGCATATTCGGGAGCATCGTCCAGATCCGAATGCGGCTCAGTTACCTGCCATTCCGGAAGTGCCTCCTGCATCTGATTTGCCTGGTACGGAATCCAATCGGACAACTCCCAGAGACGCAGTTTCTTCTGAAACGGCACCATTGCTTGCACCGATACAGCCTGGTCTACCACAACCTAGTGGGAACCAAGGAAATGCCTTCCCTACCGCTATCGTGCAACCTGTAGCTCATGATGGCAATCAACCACCTGCTCAGTCGTGAGTTATTTTGGAGATAATTTTTCGAGTAACAAACAGACTGGTCCTATCTTTTCAGCGTTCAAATTCGAGAAGTTCCTGCAGAAACGCCAGCTTCAACGAACCAACCTCAACCTCGTGTAGAAGTGCCTAGTGAGATTCCAGCAACGGCAAGCACCCGTTCACAACCAAGGGATGACGAGCCACATTTGTTCATTGCCAATGTCGCACCAGCCGCTGAGCAACGACCGAATGCTCGAGCAGCCAATGCTCCTCCCAATCCAGCTAACCGACCTGGCCAAGGTAAGTAGCTCTTTTGAGAATACGGCCAGAAAATGAACAAATGTTTTAGCACCGCCGGCTGAGCAAAGGCATGCAGAACAACCTGATGGACATGCAGATGAGGAGAACATCAACATGATGTAAGGGTTCTTTCAAGAAATAAGCAAAAATGAGTCGGGCACCGTGAAGGACCGTTGGCTTTTTCATGGAATGTTAACGACTGAGAGCCTAATGCCCAGTGGAGTAAGTTCCCAGTGGTAGCCAGGAGTTATAAGATCAAGGAGATTTTCTTAGGCCCCTTTCTCAAATCGAAGTAAGAAGGCGGATCATTTGGGAATGGCCCACGGACAGTATTTTCCGAAAAGATCGAAAACACAATACCTATTCCTTTGACACCCCCTCACTTCCTATGCCATATGAGGTCATCCCACTCGTACTTCTATAAACCACAACTTTGGCCACGAATTCTAACAATGAGTCCACGGGGCAACATTTTAGGGACAGAACAGTGCCGTTCGTATGCATTACTATGTGGTTACTTAGGAATCTTCAAAGTCGTAAAGGCAGAGACTCAATCCTAAATAACTTCCTTTCGAGACCTTCCTTCTTTCTTCTATCAATTATGCATTTACTTAGGCTACAAGGTATGCTCCAAGCTTTGGTGGAAGAAATTGTATTTGACGCAGTCAATGAAGAACGTGAGTATAGAATAGTAGGAAAGAATCTAAATCAAAAATTAAACTTGAAGCTTTTCAAGTAGAAAAAGTTCCCGAAGAAACATCAAATAGATAATAAATATTGTATAAGTTATTCTTCACGAAGTTCCAGCCACCCTCGTGAAGTTTATGTAGCACAGGCATGGGAAACACCGTCTCCGATCCGTCACCAGCCGTAAGCACCAATGCCACAAGTGCTCAACGTCCTGCTACCGAACAAAGTTCCAGTTGAGTCACTCCCACATTTGTTTATGCTCATACTATGCAAGTAGATAACGCCGTTGGGGACCACCCATTTCGTTCTGTTTGGTGAACGGGACAGCTCCTACTATAGCAAATGAAATGCGGAACTCAGCTATCGTAAGCTCGAGAAAATTTCCGTGGCTTGCTAGCTGGCCAGTCACCAATGGGTCAACATCTTTTGCTTGTTTATTTACTGGTGAATTTACTATATTTATTGATAATCACATAAGCAATATTACCTTGAACCTGTCTTTCCAGCACACCGTACACCAGCACCGGTTACACCACCGCCTTCGGACGCGTCACAAGTATCGCAGCCGCCTCGCAACCGCAACCCTTGAAAGTCTAAAATGGCCTACAATGAATGAACGATTACTTTCACATACGATAATTCTGGCTAATTATCGAATACCGCAGTTCGTGCCCACATTTCTGATTGCCCACAGTATCCTTATAAGGGCTTAATTTTTATTAAAATAAGGCCTTCTTAAAAGGTGTCTCGGCATAAGGAAATAAATGGTTCTTGGAAGAGCTTGATGCCAATTTTGAATAGTCTGTCGATGAGAGCAGCAGCGAGACGATAGTGTCTGACAGAGCCTCGTCATAGAGTGAATGATCAAAAAGCAATGAATTCCAAAGATTTCTTCAGAAAAACGTCAAACCTGATGAAGACTCAATGCGCGCGGCTATGTCTCGGGTCATACCTAACCTTATTATCTTGTTCTAGCTACTGGGTTGACTGTATGACTGGTTTCACATCTAGTAAGGCCACATTGGTGGTACTGTATGGCGCTCATGCCACTCAAAAAAGACTGATCCATCAGTCTTTCGAACACGCTTGGCGAAAGGAGAAATCGAATTTCTGCGAATCGATCGATGATCCGTCGACAACTGGCGCGACGCCAACGAAACCGCCTGCGTCGCGTCCAGGCGGCTTCCTCGCAGGCCATTCCTGCCACTCATTAATGATGGTGAATGTGGGTGCCATATATATTTCTGTATGACATCTTTTCCATAAGAAGTAGCGCTTGGTTACATTGCTTGATGGTACTAGTTATGCTAGACAGGTGCTCCTAATAGGCCCCATTCATATTTAGGCTATCTGCCATTCAATAAAGAGAGTTTCGTAAAGCAACTTTTGCCTCCTTCCTTATGAGTGACGATATGGTAGTATTCGATACTTCCTCTAATGCTGTAGTTCCCTCCTTAGTCGACTGTAATACCGCAATTCCGCTGCAATCGTTAGGGCATGCATCTATACTTCCCTGGACAAGGCAGAGTCGTCTCACAATGGGAGTGATATAACGATTGAGATGAGGGTCAGATGAGGGCTCCTAAAAAGGCTTACTTCAAGCCTGATGGCTCACTTTCACCCTATCTGCTCCCATACCTCATTTGTTCTCTTCGTGAACGTTTATGAATGAACACAGTTACAAGTCACACAGTCAATCACTCTCTTGCACTTGACTTAAAAAGGGCTCTGACATTATTTTGTGATGCGTCGGGATTCAAGCTGGACGTAGGAATGTTCACGATAAAAGACCTCATTGAGGAAGCTCATGTGTGGTCTTTTCTGGAATATACAAAAACAGAGTGACAGCGATGCAAATTCGCCGGCAGGAAAGAAGAATTGCAAAAGCGGAGTATAGGGCGACGCTTTAATTAAAGCCTCACAGCTTTGAATTTTGAATTTGATCCAAAACTTGCGCTTTTAAACCATTCACATCCTCGTCCAATAATTTTACTCGACATGATGATCACTTGCAAATTAGAGTCGATGACCAGCTTCTTCCTTGAGGATGGAGAAATTCTACACGAACTTCTATGGTAGGTATGTCACGGGTAACGGAACTTCTCCCCGAATTCCCACGGCCTGCACCAGTGGTTCCGCGGCGACTCTCCGTATCCTTCCATAGGGAATTCAAAACTTCCCCTTCATAGCGCGCGGTCGCGTGCGGCGAGCGCGACACGCCGTCCGGGGAGAAGGTGCCAGACCCCGGACCCTACAGTAAAACAATAAAGCAACGTAGGCAGCAAGTTTCCAGGGACGCACAGCCTCATAGCTGCACAGTCTGACACACATCTCCGTGACATACACCGCCTAATAGAAAAGAATAGTATCCCGCATAAGTTAAATAATGAGTTACAGAATTTCTAATCCCATGATATGATTGAAAAACACACTAGAAGAAGAACGAAGCGATGCAAATTCATCCCAACGTTGGGTAGGGACCACGCTGCTTCCACAGAGTTTCTTTTTTAAGGATGTCTACACAGCCCAACAAAATGGCATGATCACAACAGCAGAGGGCTACAATGTCTTAAAGGCTTTATTATATTACGATTATAAAAAAGGCACTGAATAGATAGCAAATATTTTACAGCATAATTTCCCATATTACCGCTAAGAAAATCTAAAATAATTTGTAACCATTCTGTTACTATGAAAATTTGAACAATACCGATTCTATCGATTTTAAAAATCACATAATTATGGAAATATTCCTCTGTAACAATACAATCAATGGCCATAGGCTTTGTAAAGTCCTGAACATGAAAATTGAAGTTTGAAAAATGAAAATGCTGGGATTATACGGGCAAAATGGCAGTACCCTCTACATGGATTAGTAATTTCACTAATTCAAAATGAAGGATTGAGGAGGGTACTGTCACAATGGGGTGAACATTGCATGGGTAAAAAAAATGAATCTAACGAGTGAATCACTGGTCCTTATACACGTATACTGTAGCACAACAACTGTTGTAAATAAACAATAACAACAAAATCCCGCAATATAAAAAGGTCATGGTGTATATGATGTTTCCCGGAATGTGTCCGACCATCAATTGATCACAGAAGATCAATCAATGTCACTCAATGTCATCGACTGATGTTCTGGGTGCTGGCCGAAGCTGACAAAGTGCTTTCCGTTTCATGGCGACATTCTGATTTCAAACGGACAAAATCTCGTGCAACCTGAAAATACGGTATTGGAGCATATCAGGTGGGCAAGTACGAGTCAGGTTTCAATCCGAAAAATCTTTGACTGCCATAAAGTCGGGACATCTTGCTCACAGTACTCTGATGATCTTACCTCGTCTGTTTGTCGTTGACTCAGTATCCTCAGCAGGATCAAGCCCGTTTCATCGATGTGCAGACGTTGTCCAAGTTGTACCCACATAGCACATGATCCTAAGATGTTATTTTTTTATATAAAATTCATATTTATTATTCCTATAGCGAATAATTTTTAAAAAAAATTCGAAAAAGCGCTGAGGCGGGCTATTTAGATAACCTTACGGCTAACGTTAAGAAGTTTACTTCCAGATCAAAATGGGAATTAAAACAAAAAGATTTCCTCAGAAACTGCTTCTAGACTACTTTTTTTTAGCTCCAGGTCATTTTTTGGGTTCAAAAATGCATTAAAAAGTTATCCTCTACTCAGAAGGCAAGGCAATCAAATGTCCTACAAAGGGCATCCTCTCATACCCCTAGGGTCGACATAATTCCAGTATGCCTTTTATCAAGATTTTTTACAAATTTATATGTAATATTATCACGAGCTACTTCAAAAATTATAAATTTAAGCTCAATAAAGAATTATTCAAGTGAATCAATGTATTAAACCAATAACTGCCCACCTTGTTCGACGACATTCGCCAGCTGAAGAACACCTACTCCAACGATTCTATCCTCGCGAGCAAAGCAATAGTCCTTTACTTGGAACATCAGTTCGTAATGTTCCGGCTCCCCTTCGTTGCCAAGGAAGCTGAACAATGAACACTTGAAATTCTTGAAAGAAGGAGCTGCGTGATTTTTCGAAAACGACAAAAATCGGGAACAAAGATCCAACAAAGAATCGTGAGACACGAGAATGCCATCCCGCTTTTTTATGTAACTGCATAAAAAATAACCAAAAAGCGCATATTGGATTAAATGTGGGCGACACTATCTAAAACCCACTCCGGACAGATCCCCCATATTTTAATCATGAAAAAAAGATCAGGGTAAAAGGAAAACAGACTGGCCCGGAATTGATATCGAGGAAAATAACTCACAAATGGAAAGTCTCGTTGAATTTCGGCGCCCAATTGCCTGGTTTACTCTTCGTTGCCATTTTCCTCTTCTTATCTGACAGATGGGGTCCGACCAAATGCACCTCCACGAATGGCTTGAACACAGATGATGTCTGCCATCGTAGATCATTGGCAGCCAAAACTGTAATGGAAATTAGATATTTTTTGTCAACATTAGTATTCAACAATGAGAATCGATTAATGAAAGATTTACTGACTTTTCACAGTAACTTTCTGCTCTCCAGTTCCCGGATGACTGAACAAATCCACTTGCACACTTACTTCTCCTACAGGTTGTTCTTGTGAAGGCAAATCTGAATTAAATCGGAAATGTTTCGAATTATTGAGTGATGGGCTAAAATAGGACTAGTACGTGCTCAGTATATGTCTTACACGATGAAAAATCTTACAACCGTATTGGAACCCGCATTGGAACGGGGAAAGATTCAGCATCTGTCGATTCCCATAAAAAATACGCCATGCACTCGACTTTCCCCCCACGTTTCGCGGTTTTTCAATGTTATATTTCATACTAAACATCGAATTTCGGAAGCCAATCATGATTCAAGTCGTTGCTGCGATCCTTCAGGAACATCTGATATCGACCCACAACAGATTCCCTCGAGAAAGTTACTGGGATTTGGATTGAAAGCCGAATGCGAGGCGCATTCCAGGGAATCTGACCATTACTTCTCTAAATACTTGATTTCATTCTCAAGTCCACGTACCTTGCTGCTTCTGACTGGTAATGAAGGTCTTGATAAGTTGCTCGGTTGTCTG